TGTCACACTCGAAATGGATATTGAGATGAGCGATATCATTGGCGCTAACCCATTGTGGCAAATGGTTGGGGTCAATGACGCAGCGACGACCTACATACAAGTAGACACTTTTTCTCCTTCTCCTTCGTCCGGTACTGCCCCCTTGACGGCTTTCCAAGTCGAAACCAACACTTTAGTTGTGTCCGCATCCGGGTTCCAAGATATTAACAGCTTCGGTGGCGTAACTGCATTCTGTAATTCAGTAGGCACAACAGTAAACTGTCAGTTCGATACATTAACTCTGGAGGGCCCCCCAACTACTAGGGTTTTTGAAGTAGCCCCCACATCCCTGATACCAGCCTCTAGCACTACACCCTTACCCTCCGAAACAAATTCCCCCGTGGTGGCCAACCTCTCATCTCCCAATCGCACGATGGTGATAATTGGAGCGGTAGTCGGGAGCGCCGTTATAATCGTTTTGATGCTCTTAACATGGTGGCTGGTTCGAAGGCATCGGAGAAGAAAAGTGCTTTGGGCCAAGAGTGGTCAGGAAGTTATCTCCCCCTTGTAAGTGCCCCCGTCTTGGAGGTATGTTTGACAAGCCTGATTTTTTTTGGCGATCTTACATAGTCATCCTCGAGATACGTCGCATATCGCTGGCCCGTTATCGATGCATTCGCCGATTTTCTGGTCCATTGCAAGGTCAGCTCTTAAATTTTTGCTGTCCAAGAAGCAAGAAGATGCTAAACATGTCCGCTAGCTGTCAGATCTAAACGGGCAGAGATGCAGGAGAAAGCGCGCGCTCGGATGGATGTACAAGAGGAGCTTCGTGCTACCCAAGAAGCATTAAATCGAGCACGCGAAAGCCATGGAGAGGAAGCTACACTACGCCAGCAAATGTTTGAACTAATAGAGCGGGTCCGGAGAATGGAAGAAGTGGTGAACGATCATCCTCCCGACTATCAATCTCAGCCATAAGTTGAGTCGTCGTTGCAAATGAAATATATATAAAAATCCGCAGTCTTTCACATTCCCCATTGACAATGACGGTATGCCTTTCGCTCAACTAGGCTCGGGGCTGATCTGAAAGAGTACCTGTAGACGCCGTCGCCGAATGCTTTTACAAGTGGTTGTACCGAACTTGTACGAAGGTAACTAAAAAAAAAGAATTCGCTGAACGCGGTTTGCCTCCACGTTTAAAAGACTTGACTTGTTTGTTGCGTCCCCGTTGCGTGAAGAATTCTGTACCCCGATTTTACGACCCATCGGCCCCCGAGTCGCGACTCGGGCTACGCAAGGCTATACAAGTATACAAGTATACAAGTAGAAGTAGAAGTAGATAGTAACATGGCAGTCAAATTCCGTTTGGTTATCCTGTTGTATCTTTCAGATAAAAAGCTGAAAACACAGGGGGTATCGGGGTATCCAAAATAATCCACCTATGCAAAAACACATATAGCTAATCAACTCTAATCACAACTCTAATCAAGTATCAACTCTTTCGAGTTACTAATTACGCTCCAAAGAATAAAGATATCCTAATAATATTTATGTACATATATACATAAAAGGGGTGTGTGTGTGCAAAATACAACGTATACAACGTATACAGTGTACAAATTTCCGTGTGCATTCCATTCCATTAAAAAAGGTTCAACTAAACAGTGCATAATCATACCTCCCAACTCCACTCAAAAAGCTCAGCTCAGCACAGCTCACCTCGGCGGTTCGCTGCACTCAAACCCTCGTAGTCTTAATCTCCCACATCCCATTCTTCCTCACGATCCCCGTCCACACCCACTCCCCTCCATGCCCAACCAATCGACCCTCTTCACACCCCTCCCGATCTCCTGCGCCTCAACCTCACCCATCCCTCCCATCCCGCCATCCCCGCGCATCCTCCTCCCATCCCCATACAACTGACCAAATGCTTTACACCTTGCGCGGAAAGCGCTGGTTACGAGGTCTTTCGCCGTAACCCCCATCCCCCCTCCTCCCATGCCTCCTAACCCTAATCCTCCTCCATAGCTCCGCCTCCAGGAAACGGCGACTGCTGCTGCAGCGGGATATCCGGATGATACGGCGACCCCATCCCCATACTCATACTCATACTCATACTCCTGCCCCTCCCCCCACCAACAACCCCCGCCATCTCCTCATTATAAAAATCCCGTGCCGATATCGGTCTCTGCAGCTCCCTCCACACGCCCTCTATCACCTCCCACACCGTCAGCCCCACCACGCCCACGCCCACCCCACCTCTCCCAGCTTGTGCAGAGGCACTGACGACATCGATGTACCACGGTATACGGGGGTGGTACAACCGCATATGCGGGGCCGCAGGCTCGCACGCCATCTGCGTGAAATCGATACTCGTGGGGGGGCGATTAAGGACCGGGAACACCGGCATCGGCGAACTCGGATGGGAGTTCCTCTCGAGTTGCGTCTGCAGCGGGAACCGCAGGTCGACAAACAGCGGCGGGCGCGAGGAGGAGACGCGGAAGAGGAGGAGGTTGGGCACGCGCTTGACGGGGTCGGACATCTCGACGACGTCGGAGCGGTGCCGGATGCTGGACCAGCGGTTGAGGAGGCCGCTTTTGACGGAGTAGTCGGCGCGCCAGTCGCGCGGGCGCGAGATGCGGTCTTCGGCGGTGTAGAGGTGCTGCGCGTCGAGGGCGCGGGAGGGGGGTAGGGGCTGTAGGGGTTCGCGTTGCCTGTGGAAGCAGGGTATGGGCTGTAGGCCCCGCCGATGCCGCCCATCCCCATCATGGCCATACGTTCTCTGGACCTGCGGGTATCGCGGTCGTATGAGCGTGCGCGCTTCATAGCGGATTTGCGCGGGCGGGAGTGGGAGTGGCCGTGTGCGTGTGCGTGATGGGGAGAGGGCATGGGATGGCGTCCCTTGAATGGGAACGGTGCCGGGAATGCGAACGACCACGTTCGTGTTCGGCGATGCCTAGTTGGTCAAAGGAGTCGAGGAGGTCCCAGTCTGTGTCTTCTGGAGGCCCAAGGGGAGCGACTTGTTGGTGGCCGCGGTCCATGCCCTGCATGAGATGCTGCCGTGCATGTCGGAAGTCGTCTACCTCGTCTTCTGGGTGTTCGAGGCCCCAGGCGCCGGCGGCGGCGCTGCTGTTCTCGAATGACCAGGGGTCTTCGTGGCGGGATGCAGAACGGGCGTGGCCATGGCGAGGTGCAGATGCGGGTCTCCCTGCTTGAGCAAAGAATCCACCAGGGGGAACACCACCTGAGGGCGGCGGATCTGGATTGGTGTAGAAATCGTTGGCGTATCCTCCTGGAGGTGCGCTGCCAGGTGGTGGGCCACGCTCGTACTCGTGGAGAGACTGTCTGTCGTACTCTGGTGGTCGCCATGCAAGACTCGCGAAGCCGTCGTCGCGTTGGGGTGGGTAGCCGCCACCAGGAGTTACAGGGTACGAATTATCGGGAGGTCCAGCACCGTGGTGCCATGAAGGCGCTGACCAGCCGCCGCCCCACGGTGAGGGCATAGGGAGATTTGGGTTGTAGAATGCGCCTGGGGCGCTGTGGGGTGGGGGAAGGACGGATGGGCCTGTACGCGGATATGGTGTACTAGAGAACACAAGTTTATTCATTTTACGTGGTTAGAAAAGATACTAGGACATACCCAGAGCCATACATCTGTCTGCCAGCGTCTGGATGACCTGGAAACGCACCTAGATCAAGACCGCCGGCTTCGAATCGTGCGTTGGGTGGTGGTGGAATTCGTGATGAATCGACGAGCGGAGGCATATCACCGTAAGCGCCGCCCCAGTGTCCAGCCATGTTTGAGCGAGGAAAGTCAAGAGTTATGAGAAAGTTGGTTGTGACTCGTCGCCTATATATAAGCGATAGAACAAAGGACCTGGCGTTAGAAAATTCTGTAGAAGAAAGACAATAACAACGGTTGAGATTTTTTTGAATTCTGTAGAAGAAAGACAATAACAACGGTTGAGATTTTTTTGAAACAAAGGATTTCGAAACAAAGACGTACCAAAAAGCCAACGCCAGGCTTTTAACGCGAAGTCGTCGAGTAGCTGGGAAGAGAGACGGCATCAGAAAAGATCCAAGATTTGAGATGACAGCTGTACGCGCGCCTATTCCGAAACTGTGTAATAAGCAGTGCTGACGCGTCCACGAGCTATTTATGCTCCAACCCTCTCCACGCTCCCAGCCTCCGATTCACAGCAATCCACACATATCCTCCGACTCCGTCTCCGCACAGGTATTGCACGCAGGCTAAAGCGCTGCTTCATAGCTTCATAGCTCCATAAGCAAAAAAAACACGCCCCGGCTTCCAACAATCCCGTGTCTAAAAGATCTGATACGCCACACAACTTTGCTGTTAAAAACAGGGCGTTTTTCGAGGTCTGTCTATCATATATCAACAGGCGTCATGATTAGGTGGGCCTACATACAGCAATTCCATGTACAAAGTTCATTGCCCCCACTTGGGACCCACGTTTCCTCTAATCGCGTCTCAAATTGCCCTTTTTGGATTCTCCAGGTGCGTGTAGTCGTTGATCCCGCCTGTTTAGTACGTTTAGTACTTGGTACTTGGTACTTGAACTACATCTAGACGCCTGCTTCACTAGTCTGCCTTGAGGCGATCCCGTCTATGACTCTTGTGAGAATACATATCGTTACCGCCAACTCCACTGAGAGATTATCGACTCCTTCCTAGATTCTTCATCATATCGCTGCCGTATTCGTAACAGCAAACTCCAACCTTCCAAATGACTCCAACTGCATTTACCGAGAACCTGGAACGGAATAACCTACTAGGACATCCATATCTCTATATCTCCATACCTTCGAACATCTATACTTCGACTATCCATACCTTCGACTACCTGTGCTTATGATACAACAATGACAACAATACACGATCCTACTGCTCTTCTTATTCCTTCTCGCTCCCCATTCGACTCGTCCAACCGTTAGTTGCAGTGCGTTCGAAACAAACCTTGCGTATCATCATCACCACCTGTATTCCATTAGTGAACATCGCCTTCTTAGCTCAGTGGTAGAGCGTTGCACTTGTATTCTGCTTTCGTCCCAAGGCTTACACAAATGCAAAGGTCAGTCGTTCAATCCGGCTAGGAGGCAATGTTCCAAACAGCGAGGATATAATTCTCTTTTTGTTTCGCATCTATCGCTCCAAGCACGGTTTCCAATCGTCGAGCTCCCAGCATTTGTATCTGAGTATCTATCATATATACTTCCACATTGTGAACAATGCCTTCTTAGCTCAGTGGTAGAGCGTTGCACTTGTATTTTGGTCAACTAGCGCATCCTACAATGCAAAGGTCAGTCGTTCAATCCGGCTAGGAGGCACTCACTAAGGCGGCTCCAAGTAATGTTTTTTTTTTTTTTCCTTTTTCACGGTACCGCAAGGCTCCGCGTGCGTTCCATTGTTCAACTCTACCGTTGGTATCCAAGCCATCATATAGAGTCATTCGTCCAATGCTTCATAGAAGCCTTCTTAGCTCAGTGGTAGAGCGTTGCACTTGTATAATCGTCAATCATTGCCTCATGATTACAATGCAAAGGTCAGTCGTTCAATCCGGCTAGGAGGCAATAAGAGGCTAAAAAATGATATTTTTTCTGTTTTTGATGTATTCGTCGGTACACAAACTACAGAAGTCCAATCCCATTGCTTGCAGCATACAGAACTTGCTACATACTTACCAAAGTCCATCCCATCCCGTTCCTAAACCATTCGGTTGTTTGGTCCTCAATTTGGGAGTATAACAATTAGAATAACTTAACAATCAAAGTTCATTCATAACTGCTCTCAATTCTTCTTGATTCTTCTTTGCGTCCCCCAGGATCATTTGTATCATATGTATCATATCCAGCTGTTCTTCCTGTTGTAAATACTCGGCGCAGGGAGCTGAATCAGCCGTGAGGCTCGAGAGATAGAAGAGACTAGATTGGAGAACTATAGATACTGGCTTCAGAGAAGGCCTTATATACTGTGTACAGTAGTAGATATTACTAAGGGATTCCGGTACATACGAGGTATCACTAATCGGATGAATAATGATTAGTAAGTACAACCGGAGTTGTATCATATCCGATATGGGATTATCAAGGCGTTACATACAACACTTCCAAAGGTTCATAAACAGCCTTCTTAGCTCAGTGGTAGAGCGTTGCACTTGTATGTCACCAACCATAGCTTCTTCATAGTACAATGCAAAGGTCAGTCGTTCAATCCGGCTAGGAGGCAATAAGAGGCTAAAAAATGATATCTTTTCTGTTTTTGATGTATTCGTCGGTACACAAACTACAGAAGTCCAATTCCATTGCTTGCAGCATACGGAACTTGCTACATATTTACCAAAGTCCATCCCATCCCGTTCCTAAACCATTTGGTTGTTTGGTCCTCAATTTGGGAGTATAACAATTAGAATAACTTAACAATCAAAGTTCATTCATAACTGCTCTCAATTCTTCTTGGCTCTTCTTTGCGTCCCCCAGGATCCGTCCAGCCGTTCTTCCTTTGCTCATAAAAGCCGTCTTAGCTCAGTGGTAAGGTATAAGGTATAAGGTGTACACGGCCCAGTCGGCATACCGACAGTGGTCCCGCAAGGGAAACAGCCGGTCCCTACGACAGCGCAAGCAGCGAGCTTGACTCCCAAGGAGAAGGTAGACTGCAGGTCCAGCGTAGGGATGGGTAGCAAGGCCCCAGAGCGGAAAAAGAGGCTAGCTAATGATAAAGTACGATGAAAACCTTTACTACTCCCATTATCCACTATCAGAATCCTCATCCTCTCCTTCCAAGCTGTAGTCCAACGGAATGCCTGAGATAGCTGTAGTCCAAAGCTGGATGGCTTCGTGGATAAATTTTGGCGTGGAAGAGATATCCGACCAGGAAAAAATACGCTGTTTGAGATAAAGTAACGCATCCCCATCACTGAGCTGGCCATGTGGGATCGAAGTGAGCGGGGACAATGTAGCGATGGCACAGAAATGGACACGTAGGTGAACCAAAGGAGGAATTGCCATACATTGCAGGAGAACATGTTCGGGTGTCTCAAACGGCGCATGACATGAATGACACAAGAAATCGGTTGGTAACTGTCCAGCGGTAAGGGTACATTTGCCAGGTGTGGCCTGAAAAAGGCCGGGAGCCAAGGAACCACATAAGAGACGAGTGATGGAAAGCCGATGGCGAAAGTTTTTAACTTGTAAGAGGTAATGACGAAGATGTAATGGTAAAGCCAACGATGGACCCGTTTCCTGTGGTTCGAGCCGATCTTTCAGGAGGCATAATTTGCTCATAGAATTAAGGTCGTTATTCAGATGGTGAAACATTGTATTAGAAATGTCAGTGTTAATAGAGCGAATATGTGGAGGAGACAAGTCCCTCAGAGGAGGGAGGCGATCCTGAGAGCCTGGCAAATTGGAGATTGCCCAATCGACATCCATAAGCCAACACGGATGACCGTTAGAGCGTAAGTTATTGTTTGCTACTAAAGCGAGGGCAATGAGGCTATTGTCAGGTGCCGAAACGAGATAAGAAAGGAATTTGAGACAAAGTTCCAATCGGCGGGTCCGGAGAGGCAAAAGACCAAGTTCGGTGAAGAGAGGAGAGATGGTGGATTGATGAGGAAGACCAAGGATGCGACGAAGACACCGCGTTTGAATGTCAAATAAAGGATTCATTACTGATGAATCCACGTTGACGGCGACGTCGCAGCCATGAGTGAGGTGGCAATCAATGAGAGAAAAGTAAAGGAGCCGAGCGACATGAGGAGGGATCCGTGACCTGCCAACTAACCGTTCGCATCCAAAAACACTTCTGGCGGAAGCGACGGCAGCTTCAGACTTCTTTCTATAATGTGTTGCAAAGATGTCGCGTGATGAGGATTGTAGCCAGATGCCGACGTAAGGCCAGGATTGTTTTAGTTGAAGAGGGCAGTTGGAGAGTGTGAGACGGGGAAGCGGGTTGGGCAAAGGCCCAAAAATCATAAACACGGATTTTTTCACATCAAGTGAAAGGAAATTGTCGTCACACCAGGATTCAAGCTCGTGAAGGTGTCTTTGGAGGCCATGAGGTGTTCGCGAGATAATTGCAATGTCGTCTGCATGTTCCAAGTGAGAAATAGTAATTCCACAGAGATCGGCGTCATCTGGATCAGGAGTGAGGTGAAGAGATGAGAGAAATAAATTCCAGAGTGTTGGAGAAGCTGGATCGCCCATTAGGACGCCGCATAGGGCGTGAAAGCACTCGGAAAGTTCGCCATTCTGGAGAATCGTATATGACATATGGTCATACAAAGTTGTGAGCCAATCAAAGTAGCGGCCAGTCAGTCCATAGTCATATAGTTTATTCCAGAGGCGATGTTGGTTTGTCAATGGAAACGCGTTTGAAATGTCGACGAAGGCAACATATAGAGTCTCACCTCTCGACCTCATATCATCTATTAGTGTCCGTAGGATGAACACATTATTGTTTGTTCTGTGGTGTTCCCGGAAACCGTTCTGGGAGGGAGGAATGATGCCAGCCTGTTTGGCTGCATTGGAGAGCTTCATATGAATAATGAGTGTCAAGAGCTTCAAGATGCAGCTCTCAAGTCCTACAGCACGGTATTCACTTGGATTAGTGAAGTCGCGTCTACCTCGCTTGCGGATGGCTTCAATAAGTGTGGTCAGCCAAGCAGAAGGGACTTCACCGGCATCGACACAGGCGTTAAGAAGATCGCATAGGATTTGGTTATCAAGGTCAAGTATCCAAGAATAAGAGGACCCATCAACCCCTGTGGTGCGCGAGGACTTTGACCGCATGAGGTGAGCTTTGGCCCGCTCAATATCATGTAATGTGAGCTGTTCATTGAGTGTCGGGAAGATGGAGGGCTTTGACACTTTAACGCGCTCGCACAAGTTGCACTCACGAGTCAGGCAATCTTGTAACGGCTGAGGGACGTTCTTGGGTGGGTTCATTCGTGGAATGAAGCACTCGGTGAGGCTCGACAAAGACACTAGAGTAGGAGCATTGCCTGGGTAGCGAAGGCGCTTGTAAAGTCTCCAGAATGCACCCGAATCGGAAGAGCATTCGATGAGGCGGTGCAGGATCCCATCCTGAAGTTGTCGCTTGAATGACCTGTGTCGGTGGTTGCGGTGGAAGGAACGTTGGCGAGATGGGTGTGGTTTGCAGGGAGCTGGGTCTTCAGGGAGATCTGTATAGACCTTTGGATATCCTAGCGGGACCGTAAAAGGGATAGGAGCGGGCACATGGTAGTAGTCTGTAGGAGAAAAGGGGATGGGTAGGGGCAGTCCTGCGCCGTGTTTTGCCAAGGCATCTGCGGCATCATTGTGTTTATTACCAGAGTGACCTTTAACATGATGGAAGCGGATAGGAGCTGAGCATGCCGCGATCCAGCTTGCGATCAGTCTGAGAAGGTCACCATTGACGCAAACCCATCCGCATTTAGCATTGCGGATAGACCAATGTACAAGGGAGTGTATCACGTACGTGGAGTCTGTGAAGATGTCCAGTACACAATGTAGCGGGGTCTTTTGTACAGTCAGTAATATTGAGTAAAGTTCTGCCCGGTTGTTGGAAGGTGTTCCTGTCACCCGTGCAGTGGTGTTGAAGGGGTGAGCGGGGCCCGCGTAAATCTTTGCGCCTGCTGTAGCACCTAGTTGTCCATTATTGGTAGCCGACCCATCAGCGTAAACCTTCAGACCATGTGTTCCAGCATGAGCGGGGTCGAGGTTACTGAAACCGTATAGTTTCCCTAGTTCGTCACTGGCCTCAGGAGGGGAGGTATGTAGAACCTCGTCGAGAAGGTGGTCAAGGTGTGCTACCAATGGTAAAGTGAATTCGGGACGCTTCCGTTTCATAGATGGAGGAGGAGGGAGAGTGGAGCGTGGTGAAAGGATCTGCAAAGATAGGAACGCGTGGTCAGACCACCTTGTTCTATCTGAGATATCAAAGGAGGCGATGTTAGAGGAGCTATAGGCTGAGCAGATGCCATAGTCAATGACCGAGGTGTTGTATATCCCATCCCGTTTTTGAAACGAGGTCCAGCGAGAGTGGGTGCCCGGGATGTGCTCTGAACCATTCAGAATGGTTAAGTTGAGGTCGTCGCATAGAGTCAGAAGGTGTGATCCTCAGGAAGAGCAGTGAGTATCGGGTGAAGTCCGAGATGGGTGTGCGGCGTTTGGCCGAAGGGAGCCAGTGCGGGCGTTAAGGTCTCCTAGAATGAAAAAAAGGTTTGTCAAGGTTAGTGGCGAGTGTGCAGATCTCTCTGAAGGCGTCCCATGGGGATGTATCAGTCCACTGGGACCAGTCAAACTTGGAGATTGAAGGAAGAAGGTACGCGTTAATGAAGAGAATACCTTCCACTTCGACTGTCACAATGTCGGGCCCACAGAGGTCCTTGTGTAACGTTGCATGTAGGTCCGAGCGGACAAAGGTAGCGACCCCACCAGAGGGATCGTTGAAGTATTCCGTCGGTCAAGCTTGAGAAAAAACAGAAAAATTATCTGGGGCGTGCCATACCTCATCAGAATATAAGTCAGTTTCCTGGATACATGCAATGTGAACGTTGTCCAGTAACTCGCAGAACTCAGAGTGGAGAAGGTTAGATTGAAGACGGCCCCCCAAATTGAAGCTAAGAATGTTCAAATTACACGTAGTACTAATACAATTAGGAGAAATACTATGGTGCGGCGAGGGAGCGCAATCAATCAAAGACTTCCCCACTGCTAACCGTCATTCGGAGGGTGACTGGTAGGAGACGTTGAATGCAGTGTTGTTGACAATCCGGGACCGGTGGCTATCCCAAGCGTTAACGAATGCTAACGCCTGAGAGGCGTTAGTAAAGAACAGATGCACCTGGCATCTGGCGGGCCCAGTGTGTCGAATACGGTAGGGGAATGTCAATGGCGTGGCTGCGTTATCCAACAGGTCAAACCAGGTGTGGAAGAAGGCATGGAGAGCTCTACCTTTCCCGCGGAATTTCCAAGTTTCGGTGGAGATACGAACTGTCGATCCCGGGAATGTGTTGTGATTGGTAGAGGGCGTGGAAGAAGGTGTGCCAGTTCTTCGACGTTTTGGTGTTGGTTCCATAAATGACGGGGATGCGGGTCGGCGAGATATACGGTTTCGGAGAGGCACGGGATTTTGAGGCGCGACGGAAGGTGGGGTGTCCAAGGCCATGTGCGGCGACGGCGAGGGAGAACGATCCTGAGGTGAGGCCAAAGGTTGCCTCTGGGACCCATGACAGGGAGAGTCGAAGTCGGAGTCAGGGTTTCGTGGATTGCTGAAGATGTCAGGGGAGCTGGTGCGTGTATACGAGAGTAGTTGTCCACTAGGACCGGGAGGCTGTTGTTCCAGTTGATCCAGTCGCTGAAGGATGGTGTCGTAGGGAGGTTGTGAGCTCTCAATGTCGTGGACCCATGTCTGTAGGTCATTGACGTCAGTGCGGAGAGTGGTCACGTCCTGTCCCAGAGATTGCTGTGCGTGGTCGTAGGTCTCGTCATGTTGGTGAAGACTGTTGTTGAGGTTTCGAATGAGATTGCTCGCCGTGGATGACTCTGTACGAATCATCCCTTCGAGGCGTAAGTCATTGCTGTCCGAGCGATATCTGGTGGTTGCAGCAGATTCCTTTGTTCCCGAGGTGTTTGGGATGAGCCTGGATTCTGCAGGGTAGTGCAACGTAGGCAGATTTAATGAAGACTGGGGAGAGACAGTCTTCGACGGCATGACCTTCGAGGCTTTTCCCTTAGCGGAGATAGCCTTTTTCGAGGCTTTCCCGGAAGGGGTCAACGTAGTAATGCTGCCAGCGTTACTCGGGGAAGGGCTGCGGCGCGGTTCCGAGGGATTGTCGTCGTCGAGAAGATGTGTAAAGGATGTGGCAGATTGTCTAGCGAGGGATCGGTTTGCTGAGGAAGTAGGAGCGGGAAGAGGAGTAGGTGAAGGACGGCTTTCCAGTGTTACAGCTGAGGTGCTGGCCTGGGGTTGTTGTGCATATGGCACATATTGGTCCTGGATCCTACTCAGTCTGACCGTGTCCTCGATGAGTTCTTTGATGGACTTTGCCATTCTGTGGTTAGAGATGGTATGTCTCAGAATGTCTCAGGTAGCGATTGGTGGTGGAAGTCGGGCAGCGGCTGAGACTTTTGTAGAGTGTGCGCGTGAAGAGTGAAGAAAGCGTTAACGTTGTCGAAGTACGAAGTTGCGGCGATGAGCGCGATAGAAATTTTCGGGCGCCTAATCGGTGATGGTGGATGGATAGATAGAGCGTTGCACTTGTATATTTATCGGCATAGGAATTTCTTGATGCAAAGGTCTGTCGTTCAATCCGACTAGAAGGCAATTACAATTCTTCCTCCAGATCTAAGTAATCTTTTTTTTTTCACCTTTGGACAACCTTTGGATTGGTACCGCAAGGCTCTGCGCATGCCATTTTTCGAGTGAGTCAACCGCAAGGGTGTGTATATTTTAAAACTTATATATCATGATGACTTTCAACCTTAAGAGCTTCTATAGCCTCTCCCCCCCTTCCCCTCCCTCCCCATACCTAAAGTAAATAATTTCCCACAGCTATGCTGCTTGTTGGCTCTCCCAGGGATCCCTTTTCCTCTGGACCCAGTATTATCTCTACTGCACTCATCACAAATACCAAGAGCCTGTTTGAAGAAAAGTAAGACCACAATGATGTATTCAAGAAGCAGATAGAAGCAGCTAGCAAGATATAAAGACTGACCTTGACAAAGTCCCTCAACCAGAGCTCAATGGAGGGCCTGTAGTGTCAGGTACTGTATTCATTGAGCTAGGGGAGTTCTTTAGTATCTAAAAAGTTCAAGGTACCAAGTATTATAGAATAAATCAACAATTTCCTTTTTTTTCCATCCCCTGCCAAGTCATCCCACCAAGTTGTATGTCAAGCCAAAAGAGGTTATCAGAGGGCGGCTTGGAAGAAAAGCGCATGTGAAATATGACTGTGAGCTATGTACACCTCTAAAATCCAGTGTGCACTGTTGAACAGTCTAAGTCTCAGAAACTTCGAATTTTAGACCCAGAAAAACTGTATCTGGTACTAAACAGTCCATTGAGGGCCAGACAATGCTTTGACCTTAATAGAGACCGACTCTAATGTTTCCAATTGAATGTTCTCAATTCTTCTTGGCTCTTCTTTGCGTCCCCCGGGATCCTTCGTACCATATCCAGCTGTTCTTCCTTCGCTCATAAACAGCCTTCTTAGCTCAGTGATAGAGTGTTGCACTTGTATATCACCAACCATAGCTTCTTCATAGTACAATGCAAAGGTCAGTCGATCAATCCGGCTAGGAGGCAATAGGAGGCTGAAAATGATATTTTTTCTGTTTTTGATGTATTCGTCGGTACACAAACTACAGAAGTCCAATCCCATTGCTCAGTTGATTGGTTTGGTCCACAATTGGTATTTAGCAATCAGTCATACTTAGTCTCAATTCTTCGGATCCTCCCAGGATCCTTATATCATATCCAGCCTTTGCTCCCAATGGAATAACGCCTCCTTAGCTCAGTGGTAGAGCATTGCGCTTGTATAGACCCTGACGCGGCCGGTTCTGACTGAATGTCATTTATACAATGCAAAGGCCAGCCGTTCAATCCGGCTAGGAGGCTATGTATAGTGCTAGTCTTGGAAGTATTTTTTGCTTTCAATGTATCTGTACACAAGATATGTACAGACTTCTACTGTCCCACTAGTACTAAATACTAAGCTGTTTGGTTGGTTGGGTCCACATTTGCTCTCAATTCAATTCTTTGCACACTCCCAGAATCCTTATATCATATTCAGTCTTCCTTCCCAAATGCATAACAACTCCTTAGCTCAGTGGTAGAGCGTTGCGCTTGTATGCCTGGAGCCCACCACTCCAACTGAATGTCATTTATACAATGCAAAGGCCAGCCGTTCAATCCGGCTAGGAGACATGGTTTCGTGGGAGTTAAGGTAGATTTTTTTTTTTCGCTTTTGGTGTATTCAAGTTTGTCCAGACAGGACACGTACAGACTCCACTGTCCCATTAGTTCTGAACCACTCTGCTGGTTGGTCTACATTTGCTCTCAATTCAATTCCAGGACCTCATATCATGTTCCATAAATCAGGCATTTTTCCCAACTGCATAACGCCTCCTTAGCTCAGTGGTAGAGCATTGCGCTTGTATACCTTGACGCTGATGCTTACGCGCTTACGACTGAATGTCATTTATACAATGCAAAGGCCAGCCGTTCAATCCGGCTAGAAGGCATATCAGAGGACGGTGGTGGTACTAGAATAATTTCCCATTTGGATCTATGTATCACTACACATCGGTTCCCATTCCTTTGTATCCGCGTATAATCATCTGCTTTCCTCCCAGCCATATAAAGCCTTCTTAGCTCAGTGGTAGAGCGTTGCAGTTGTATGGACACAAGTATGGATGCCTGTTATCACCTAATAGTACAATGCAAAGGCCAGCCGTTCAATCTGGCTAGGAGGCATGTACTGGTATAGATTGAGGAGTGGATTTTTGTCTCATTGAGATCTCTGTTCTTTTCAAAACCGATCGCCGGTCCTCGGGTTCAGCCCTCAGCTGTATACACTTTCTCAATTCTTTGTATTTGACTGCACATCCCATTTGAGTACAATGTGGCACAAACTCAACACAAACTAGGCAACTGTCGTGAGAAGTAACAAACCATTTCCACTAGTCACATCCTCCCCAACCTATACCACAAATTGTACCCTCGCTGAAGACCAGCTGTCATAAAAACGGTTTTGTACAAACTCTAAAAAAGGGGACTGATGATTCCGTGGTTATAGATATACCAGAATAACTCACCCATATTGATAGGAGTGCCAACTTCAGAAGAAACAGTGATGACGGACATCCCATAAATCAGGCCATTGAGCTTCACAGGTATCAGCGTGACAATGAAAACAACTGGAAAACAACGACAGCCCAGTCAAGGTGTTAAACTTACTTGAACAAAACCGAAGTTAGCAGGGTCAGGATCAGGTTGTATGATCTGAGCAGTGAATGTTTCTTTATACATGGCTCTGAAGACAATAGGATTCTTCCCATCAGGTCCTATCATGTTGATATTGTCCGTGTAGTCAATATGGTCTGAAGTAGGGATCCACACCGTAACCGTATAATACGGTTTACGGTTACGGTTTTACGGGTACCCGTAACCGTACTGTATAAGGCTTGCAAAGCTAGTTTACGGTTACGGTTACGGTACTCCCGTATACCGTATACTGACCGTATATGTACGGCCGTATACGGGTACCATACGGCCCGTAAAATTACCCAGAAGCCAACAATGACAAGGAGGTTATCTGACTGCTTTTCTATTCATATGGATACCACCAATGATATTTCCGTTGGAAAGAATTGCTTGCTTTCTGAAATTGAGCCCTCAACGCCAGGAAAAATGGTATAAGCTTTCATCACCACATCAGATCACTGTGGGAATTAATATACTTGTTGTTGAGGTGGTCCTCTGTTTGAATGCAGAGACTGTTTGTGTGGTGATACTATACCAGAATCAACATGAGACTCTTGAGCTTGTATTAAAAGTGAGTATATATGCACAAAATTCAAGTTTTAGGTCTGAGTAATTTTTATACGGCCGTATACCGTATAATACCCGTAACCGTAAGAGGCTTTTTGGATTTCTTTACGGTTACGGTTACGGTCCTACCGTATACCGTAAGTGACCGTAAATTATATGGTGCGGATCCCTAGTCTGAAGGCTGGTGAACATGTGTTTCATGTAACATGCATGAAAGATGAACATACAAGAGTATTTGTTATTCCCTATTTCAGAATCAAACGTCACTGGATAGTGGAACTTGTATACTAATGCCGGAGTAGTCCGCATTGTATAGACGGCGGGATTGTTGATAGGTACGGAAACCCGAATGTAATACTATCAAAGTAACATTTCTTGAATTGGCGTGACGGTAGGCATGCACATTTACAACCCAGTTTGAGTTATTAATCTGGTAAATTTGGCTCCCATAACTCATATTCAATTTTCAGCAAGGCAAGCACAGATAAAACGTTTACTTATGGAAGCCCCTGGTACCGTGTGGTGGAGTGAGATGTTTCTTGATGCCACTGGTAAAGGAAATGAGAATTGGTATGATGGTTCACCCCCAGCAGACTTGCTGTAGTCACTAGAATTGGGGAATAATATAATAAGGCAACATCAGAAGCCTTTTAGGAGTGGCACGACCTACACAGTGATCTCAACTGCATTGGGAAAGTCAGTAACCATGGGCTGGAACCTACACACAAGTATACAATGAGGGCTCATGAACCACACAGTAGAACAAAGCCATACAATTTGGTGTTGTCCATGATAGCTTTCATGAGGGCATTGCGCGACTTTGCATTCTTCATGGCCACTTCTAATATGGTGTCGTATGAGCCAACTGACGCTGTGCCATCCTTGAACACCTTTATGAGTGTGGCAACCTGTTGTGTTGAATATCAGCAGATATCAGTATCATTGTTATGATTGATCAAGCTCATAGTTATCTCACACTCATTATTTACACGTACTTACACATACTTATTTCCTATCACCCCCATTACCAGTATATATTGTGCTTTTCACTTTATTCTGCCGTTGTGCTATATATTATCCCGAGTGGTAATATCGTGTTCTATTTTATTATCCAACATGTTGCAAATTGACCTCGCCGTTCTCTGCATTGTCATGTTGGAATATTACTCCATATGTACAAGGATCAGTATACTTTGCTTTGACATCTCTTTATTATATGCCTATTAGAGGTTGATCGATAAGGCAGACAGTGTACTCTACACTGTTAGTAGGCTCTGGTCACACAGACACAGAGGAGACGAAGGTCCAGACACAGACACAAACAGAGAAAACACAACTTGATATTCCACAAGTACATACAGGATTAAATACGAGTCCAGCGAGTTAATAATAAGTACAACGCGTGAAGCGTTCACAGACGGAGTGAGAGTAATAAGACGAGAGTGGAATGGAGCACAAGGTAAGTAAGTAAGAATAGACGAGAGCACGATAATAGAGCAATGGCGAGTGGGCAGGATAAAGATAGTACAACTAGTTCACATACCAGTAGTTACAGCGAGAGAGAACGTTCCATAGATAGTAACGAAGTGGGAAGACTGTTCCATAGTAAGTATAATGAAGTTGATAGATGAAGAAGTCCAACAATGCCATTAGCTTACTATATACTGTACAGTTGGTACTATACCATGCTAGACAGCGTTTTTGGGCTTCCTCAGTTGGTTTTCATTATCCACTGAGTTTAATTCATTCCTACAGATTACATCAAGAAAAGCTGTTTTTGCCTAGGTGACCCCAGAGTGGCCTAAAGCAAACTAGGTGACCTATGAATCCTATGGCATCCTAGGAATTTGGGCTTGTCCCTTGCCAGTCAAGGGACAAGCCCAAATTCCTAGGATGCCATAGGATTCATAGGTCACCTAGTTTGCTTTAGGCCACTCTGGGGTCACCTAGGCAAAAACAGCTTTTCCTGATGTATGAGACTTGTTCTCTAATTAAAAGGAAGAAAAGAGAGACAGCAACAAAACTTACACTGGGGGCATTGACTGTGGCATCTGAAAGTTGGATGCTTTAATATCATCTCAATAGGCTCTCGATAGGCACCTTGAATGGCATCTGAGGATTGTGTCACACTTTTCTTTAGAGGTCTGAATCAATGGCCATTTATTTCTTTGGCAAGTCTTAAAGGTCTTTGAGGTAGAAACAAAATTCAGTGTTTGAGCCCTTTGTCGCTACTTCAAAGACCTTTGAGACTTGTTAAAGGGATGATTAGCCATTGTTTTGAGTTCTATATATAAAAGTATGACAAGGCCAAAGGAGGGCCAGTGCGTGATTTTCAGATGCCACTCAAGGTGCCTATTGGGATGATATTAAAGCATCTGATTTTCAGATGCCATGGTCGATGCCTCCAGTGTTACCAAAAATGTTGTTTGGAACTTTGCTGAATATATCTAGACTCCTGGACGGGAAACAGCTTGTCGGTGAAGAAAATTGGAGACCATTTAAACGGGAAATTCTGTTCATTGTCCAGTTGAATGGACTAGCTGGCTACATTGACAGTACCATTGATAGGGCTAACTATGGGTATGTGGGCAGAAGGCAAAACAACACAAACACAAACACACACAATCAGACTTTTGAGTTCTGGGGTAATTCAAGATTGATCAATGGGCTCTATTGCACAAAATGCTCTATAGTCTCCGGGGTTCTCTTTGTACTTAAACTATTCCTTTCAAAACAAGACTCTGGACTTCAAAACTTTCAAACAAGACAAGACTGGGACTTTAACTTTCAATCAATCAACAACAACAACAACAACAACAACAAGTGCAAAGTCTTTTTCTTTGTCTGTTCAAATGCAATCCAAGTTCATTCAAGTTCTGTCAGAAGCAAAAGCACTCTGAATAATTCTGTTCTTTCTTCTGCCAGAAGCACCCTATTACTACAAGCTTGGCAGCAAGCCAGTTAACCTGGGGAGGGAGGGATGCCTGCTCTTTCTGGAGGTATCCCCTTGATTATATACCCAAGGAGGACAAGAGTATTGGTAAGGGGAGCATGTGCTCTACATACAAGGCTGTATGGCATCATATGGTCAATTCTATTGTGAAATTTTACATCAGACTCCGAAACGGTGAGCAGAGACGCCCCATGAGGTCGTTTCACTCTATTCAGTTCCATTTCGGATCATAGATGTTCAATCTTGAGTTCTTGGTATGTTCTTTTCCATTCATTCTCAATTGCCAGTACTTCCAGTAACTTATGACTGTAAGTCAGGGTGAACCAATAGTCCACAGGCTCTATAAGTGAGGGAGGACTTGTATAAGGATGTATCTTAGCTATTTTCCGCCTCGATAATCGTCATCTAAGCCTTGCAACATTAAGTTTCATTCTAATCTTTGAAATACTGCTCCAAGGGGACAGATCTCAGTTCTATGCTGGAGCATTGGAACACCACCCGGGATCGGGACGTTTTACCGTATTTCCAACTCGTATAAACTCGTTTCAAGGGTTCATAAACTTTCTAAGGTCTCTGATTGATGGGCATTGAAGTATGAGCATATCTATAGAAATACAGGTATGTCTTCTCCTAGTACCTACTCAAATCTCGTCTCTATGGTCGGGGGACTCATGGAGTATAATGCGGGAGGGAAGGGGACGTCGACGGGACCTGTTCGGACTCGGTTTGACCCCCACTCCTGTCCTGTATCATCGTGCATTATTTGAAAATGAGGCATTTATCCCAACAACTGATGTAACCATGTTCTGGGACCGGAGAAGTACCCTGGATACCGGTATTTCGATGCCGTCGGATGCCTATGCACTGCTTTTGTTTGTTCTAGTACTTCAGGGTCTCTGGTACATTTTGTTCCTTGCCCCAGATTGCCCTTTTGCATGTTCTAAGTTTTATACCCTTAGTAAGGTATTAT